TCCCCGACTGAAGCACGGAAGAAGATTATTTTTATCCAAGTATTGCAGAAGCTGTCTTGTAACCACCCTTTCAACAATCTTTGCTATAAACGACAAATTTGACACAGGACGAAAACTCTTCAACTCATTTGTATCGGACGATGGTTGCTTCAATAGAGGTGAAACAATTGCTTTTTTAAAAATCATTGGATAACTTCCAGTTTTCAAACACATATTGATCAAATCCGTCAAGTACGGCAAAATCAGTTCAATGTGTTTATTGAAAAGACTCGTCGGGATGGGATCTAGCATACATGTTGTCGGAGGGGCTTTCAAAATAACTGCTTTAACATCATCACTTGAGCACTCCAAAAAATTCGAGAATACTTGATGTTCTTTAACCTTACAACTGAAAGAAGGTACGCATGCCCTATTATGATTTTTTAATGTTTTCAATCTTTTTCCTGAAAAACTCTGCAAATTCACTGGCAGTAACAGGCATATTTATTACTGGTACCACCAAGCCCAACGTTCCACTATGCATATGTGTAGGTTCTTTTATTACATTTTGCATTGAAAACATGTCAAACACATTCGATAATAGCCTGGCATTAACATTATCATTTCTTTCGACATGCACGTTCAAATCACCTAATAATATTACATGATCACTCAATAACATTATGTTCTCCAAGATACTGGTCAATTTTTGAAAAATGCTTTAGAAGCCAACTGCGATCCTGGTCGATAAATGGCAAATAGTACGACATTAACTGTGCCTACTGTCAACATAACCACAATTGCCTCAAAATGTTAATAATTCCGGCAAAGCTATCCTTTTGTGTTTAAAGAGATCACGAAAGTAAATGATTGATCCCCCGTGATATGGATCATCTCTTCGCAAACAATCAACAAACCTGAATCTATGGGGCATAGCTAGTTTAACCGAAACATCATCTGATGAACCATGCCAGGTTTCTGTTAACACAAAAATATCTAAGTCTTCATGTAATAATTCATAAATAGTATCAATCTTTGAAATCATTGATCTTATATTTAAAAAACCTAGACGTAATTTTTTCAAATATCCATCATTAGTATCATCAGTCCTACCGCTATCAACTCCATCATCATCCCCGTCACAGGTAACATTAATTCGACCATCATCAATAAATCTACCATCACGTCTATCATCATCACCAGGGTCATCATCATCACCACCACAACCACCCAATTGATCATTCACCATGTTACTTTCCCTATAGTTAATGACAAAATTCACATTACCAAAATTTCCACTTTTTTTTATTCATATCCGCCCATTGCCCCTACCGAAAATATTGCATTAACTTTTCTGTTTACATCATTTATCAAATATTTAATGTCATCAAGTTCCTCAAATATTCCATCGATATCGAAAGAATACATATTCAGTGCAATCTTTTTTTATTCGAATTATTCTCAAATTTCCAGGTTCGCCCCTCACTCTGTAAACAGAATCCTCTTTATCAGCTGCCTCCTTTTCCCTCGCTAAATTCATCAATTCTCTTCACTTAATTCTTTGATCTTTTGTCATATCGTGGCCAATAACTATTCCTTTCAGATCATCATCTAAATTTTTCAAATTATTTAGACTTTCCATAATTAAGTTTTTCAAAATCTTTGACTTCTGTCTAACCAACAGCGGCCTGACATTATCCGATCTCTTGCCCAATCTGTAGTGTTTAACAACATTTGACATATCAATTTTTTCATCTGTTATTGCGCTAAGAATGCGCATAATCCTTTCATCATCTTCTTTTTTGCTATCATTAAAACTGAGGTTGTTACTTTCCTTCAATTTAAAAATTATAAAGTTGAACGATCTTTCTTCAACCTCACTATATAATTGAATTGTTTTCTTTGCATTAATGACCTTTTCTTTTAGTGCCTTTATTCCATCATTCATTCTCATCACTTCATTATTTACAGTTTCAACCTTCTTTCCATCAACATCTTTCACAGCATCTTAATACTACTTTTTAAGACCATCTTGTAGTGAATTTATTTTTTTATCCAGAATATCTTCCGTGATTTTTTTATCAAGTACTGTTTTTATCTCCTTTATTTGACCACTAATGACGTTGTTGCAATCTCCCCACAAATCTTTAATTTGGTTATTAATAACCGCATTGCTTTCATGAATCGTTTTTATACCGCCCCCCATCACGCTTAACTGACTGCCTGGTTTGAGAGCTTCCATCTGTCCAACACAGCCACTACAACACCATATTAAACCGGTACATTGTTGAATATCCTTCCTTGTTTGCTCAGAAATGGAAGCGCACTTCCAATGAATCACCAACTCACAAAATTTGCAGTGTAGAATTTCCTTCATTGGCACCGTACCTGCACAGGCTGTGCATTTATTTCTTGAAGCCATATGTTTGTCAACAAATCAGTACATACAAATGTAAATTAATGCTAATTATTAGTGTTTAAGTTTGCAAACTACAACTCAAATCAACAAGGAGTGGACTTATTCAAAAAAACAACTTAAATATTAGTTTCTTATATAAATATATTAAACCTAAATAAACGATTAAATCTAAATTAATTAATTCGAAACCATTTAATGAAAAACAAAATATAATAATACTTCCTATAATTTTATTAATTTTATCCTTTAAACGAATCCAAATTCAACTATATAATATCAAAATTAACACCAAAATTCAAGAAAAAACTCAGAGAAATCCAATTGCGTCCATTCACTATTCAAATAACTAAATATATATATATATATATATATATATATATATATATATATATCGTGAGAGACGAAACGTACGTTTGGCCTAACGCGGGTAATGTTTTACCAATAATACCTCTTTCGACCGAATGGGTTCTTAAACCTTATAACAACGCGATGTTGTTCTTACCTATTGGTCGCGACACCTCAATTTGCGTTTCTTGGTTACCATAATTGAGTTGTGTTATCTTAAACCTTATTCGGTTAGCTACTGACGAGTCTCGTGAGAGACGAAACGTACGTCTGGCCATAGACTCCTAAATAATAGATATTATTTAGGAGATCAGGGTCTGGCCTAACGCGGGTAATGGTTTACCAATGATATATATATATATATATATATATATATATATATGGCCTAACGCGGGTAATGGTTTTCCAATGATATATATATATATATATCTTCGCCATATATATCTTCGACTTCGTTACGTTACATACATATATATTATATATAGACTATATATAAATTAATATAGACAAGACAAGTCTTATTCGGTCTCCGCTTATTCAACTTCATAACTTTTATTCACTTATTTGATATGTTGTTGATTATGAATAAACTTTGAAAATGAAATGAAATACTAAGTTACGATCAATTGAAGCCTTTTGACGTAATGAAACTAGTTTTGCGTGAATTAGTCTGAAAGAACGTTAGTACTGCTGAAATATGCAGCATAGTTTTTAATAGTTTGCTATTTCTAATTTTATAAATCGAGTAAACTGCCAATGAGAAGTTATATTAAAAGCAGCAATCTAATTTAATGCTTTTATGATTTTTTGACGGTGATACCGACACGCACCAAAAACTTTGCAACACCACATAAGCTAGAAAAAACACTTAACAATTTTGTTATAGTGACAACATTATTACAATTTTCATTCAGAAAACACAAAAAATGATCTGTTCTGCCTATCGAGTCAGAAAAAAGATAGAGAATGCGGAAATATGAAGCAAGAGGTGCAAAATAATGATGTCAAAATTGCTGTAAACACGTATGCCGAGACGGATGCTTCAAAACTCATTAAACATGAAATGTTGCAAGGTTAGCTTTTTTGAAAATGAAATTGAATGTTTCAAAACAAAGCTTTTTCATCAGTAATTAGGTCGATAACGATGTGTGTGATACGACTTTATAGTGAAAGAATAAATGGTAGCAAATAAAAAATATTAAAGAAAGAGCAAAGAACATGAAATATTCCATAGACACCAATAAGAAAATTGTTAACCGCTCAAAAATAAAAATTCCATATTTACAATTTTAAACACTACTCTAAGATTATAGAATTAAACATAGAATTAAACATTTTTCATACTCTAAGATTATAGAATAAAACATTTTTCTGCTACTGCTTAGAATTGAAAAATAATTTAGTTACCCTAAGTTAGACATTACTTCTACGATTTACCAATAGGTTATTGTTGGTTTAGCAATATTGTTAAATTGAACAGAATCTCTTGATGACAGAAATCTTTTACTGCTTGCTCGTCGTCTGGGAACAAATTGGAAAAGTCTTGCACGGCTACTGAGCGTAAATGAAGATGAAATTTCTGATTTGATGACTTCTGAAGATTCATCAGGTTATCAATCAGCATTTAGGATGCTGTGGAATTGGAGAGAGAATCAATCCATCGAGACCAAACGAGATGAATGTTTGAAGTTATTGATCTCCGCTTTGCGTGAATTAAACATGCCTAACTTAGTTGAATGCCTCAGATAAACATTATTATTAAACTCTACAGACGTTTTATTGAATTATTTCATTTATTTATTTAAGGAATTGAAATTTTAACAGACTCGCAGGATTAACAAGTTTATTAAGGATAATCAAAATTAAAAATAAAATAATAATCTGAACTATCTAATTTAATTTAGACGTAACGTAAGTAGAACGTACAAAAAAAAGTTTATTTCGATCACCATATTCACCATATGGGTCATCAACTTAAATTTTTTATTTTGAGTTTTTGTTTGCAAGCATTGTTTAACAGAATATTTAACAATGTTTTGCTTTTGTGTGAATCAGCAACTTGCGCTTCTATTGGTGGTAAAGGATTACCTGTAAATTATTATAAAATTGTGCATTCATGTCAACACCTGTATGCGATTTTATTACAGAAAAGGAAATTGAAAATTTCACCTTTTAATTCAAGAACTCCTAATTTAACTCCTTTACCGGGAAAGACTGTTGGAAGTTGATAAATTTTGGTAATGCTTTTGTCATAACTTTTATACCTTGGTATTAGCTCGTTGAACAACTTGTAAATTAAATCCTTTTCCTGAATTAGAAACAGAAAAAATTGAAAAGTTTAATGAAAAAAAGCCATTAAATAAATTTAGGCCTTTGCTTTAATGAACAATTTATTTTGTATCTGTCTCTTTGTGCAGCTAGAACTACTGCATAATTATTTCAGGCCCCCTAATTCATTTGAAAAACTCGCTTTTAACATTCATCCTATCACCATATTATCATCGATATGTAAGTACATTTACATTTAAGTAAGTAAGTACATTTAAATATATTTTTCAGCGAAATCAGTGTCCCAAGTTTTGTAAACCATTTCATCAAAACAATTTTCATTCAACAACAACCATCATGCAGACCTTTTCATTCTTAACCAATCCAGTTCAAACTAAATGAACCTTTTAAATGTTGTCTCTATAATTGTTGAATGTAATTTTACTAAAGGAAAAAAATTGTGAAATCTTACAAGTTTAAACAATTTTTATTTGTTAAAGTCTTTATATTTTTCCAGATGTAAAATGTTCAACATTAACTTATTTAAGCTTTTCCATGATGTCTCAATTTTTCATTTTATATTTTTTCTACACTCATCTAAAACATTTGAAACTCGTAACTTTTTTTTTCTTCTTCTTCTTAAAAGAAAAAATTTTTCTTAAATTTTTCTTCTTAAAATTTTTTTGTAACTAGTTCTAGGTTTTATAAATATATATTTAAGTCATTTAGCAAAAACCAGCTACTTCCTTTAATAACTTTTCATTTTTTTAAATATTAAAACTAATTAGTGATTCTTGAAACCATTATTGGTACAAGAACTTGTAATAAAACTTTTTATAAACAAAACTGAATCATATCTAAAATCGGATTCTATTTAAAAAAATCAAATTAAAACCAATGTGACTCCTTACAGCGTATGTATGATGCAGCACTTACTATTTTGAAGATCATGTTATATAAAACTTTTGTTGACGAGCAAATATTTTTTTAGTTATGTTCTTTGTTCCTTATTTGCATAACTTGAATTAGAAATTAGTATCATCATAATTTTGATAAATTGCAACTTTAGGGTTCCTCCTAACTTTATGCATAAAAGCCCAGCTTCTTATTATTAACTTATTTTCTACATACCAATGCTATAACATTTAGCTTAGTTTTCCTATTTATAAAGCTATATATTTAGAGATCCAACTTATGAAATGCCGTAATCATTAATAAACAAAAATAAAATTTAATGTTAATTAATTTCAACAACTACCAGTATCCAATAATCCAGCATGTCCATAGTTGGCTTGTGTTTATCTCCATGTTTCAGTGCTTCCTGTACGATCTGATCGTTTTAAAACATTGGGCATATTCAATTTTTTTAAAGGCGTGTCACTTATGTAAATTACAACAAATCTGGTGCCAAAATAAGATAATTTTGATGGTATAAAATGTTACAAATAAATGTCCGGTTTTATGGAAACATGTCATTCTGTTGCACCAATCAATATAAAGTAAAAAAATAATTCTACCTTAAATCCTCATTACTGAATTACTGAGGCTCAGTTTAAAATCGAAAAGTTGCAACCAATTAACATCACATATGGTTATTATAGCTTACATCTGACCACTCGCAACATCAGACATCACCTCTCATAACTGCAACACTTCCAAATCTCAACAGTTCTCTAATCAACAAACTCACACTCATGATTCAACACATTTTCCAGGTTTTCACGTGAAAGCTTATAATGTAAGGGTTATGAGAGTTTATGTCAGTCTACACACACTTGAATTGGAAACATACTCCACTGGTGTTCTTATGTTTATATATTCACCTGACAATAAATTAACTGCTTCTTGAATTCTTTACATGCCATTATGTATGTAAATGGCAATACAGAAATTTCATCAGTTGACTGATTTTGCATCTGTCAAATATTTTTGAACATTTCAAAAAAAATAAATTTGTGTTAACAAGCCATCCAAATTTAAGGTTAGATATAACATACTTGCATCCATTATATTTCTCATATTTGAATTTAGTTCTCACAGAAAAAGTTTTAAATAAACAATTTATTCCAAACTGTGATTAATATTAAACACAAAAAACCAATTGTCAAGTAATGAAAAATTTCAAAAATTAATAGATGTTGTGATGATTAACATGAAAGTGTTTTTAATGAGCAAGAGTTCATTTACTTTACTTACAGCTTATATTTAGAATCATTTTTATCAATGGCAATGAATATAAAAATTTTTGTGTAAAGGCAAACTGAGCCATATATATTTTACATAAAGGCTAATTTAAAAATTAGTTCAACACTCAGTTGATGTAAATTTCATGGAAGCATCAAACTATTCAATTTATTCATTACTAATGTAAACTCAACTTTCAATTGAAATCCTTATATACTTTTTTATTTACTACCTTGGCACTATGATGGACATTTCGTAGCTGGTGGGAAAAAGCAATCATTTATTATTTGTATCTCTCACAAGACCAAATCACAGTAGTATGCTAAATAAATTAAAACTCAGGAGTTTCTAACTTAAATAACAAAAAACACAAGGTTGAAAATTGAGTGGAATTAGAAAAATGGTACTCATTTGATTGAATTGAAAACATATTATTAATCACTTAATGCCTTAATCAAAAACCAGCAGTCATTTTTTAAATAAAAATAATAAACCCCAAGTTGGCGGAGTCAAGGAGAAAACAAGGTTATAAAAGGGATTAAAAGTGAAAGTCTGCAAATCATTATCGTTTTATGTCGTACTAAAACTAACCAGTTCAGCATAGCCTCTTGATTCATCCAAATAAAATGCTTTATCTTCAATTCTTTCAAATCTAAGCAGGTTTGTAACAAGGCGTCTCAGTTTGTTGATTCTACCTTGAGGTCCACTGCCGATTCCTTCGGCTGTTGGCATGTTGCGCTGTGCATTTCTGTAAACTATCCTCAACATTTCGCAAAAATAAAAGTCTACTACGCACGGCACGAGATAAACAAAAACATTAAAGCAAAATAAGAGAGGCCGACTCGTATCACGTTGGGTTCCTTGATTAGGCTACAGAAATCGGTTTAAAAGTGGAGACAATGGTATTTGAATTATGTTATATATATATAATATATATACATAGATCATATATGTAAATGTGAATAGTTCCATTGATATTGATATATATATATATATATATGTTGGTAATATTGTAAATATATATATATATATATATATGCTGGAAAAAGACAATTATTATTATCCTATTATCATTATTATCCTATATTTATATTATATCATATTATATTATATTGTATATATTAATGCGATAATTAATAAAATCTATCGAATTTTTGCGTTAGATAGTTTTTTTTATAACATTTCTAAATATTTCTAAAGAAGTAGGTAAAATATTGTTATTTATATTTCTGATTTAATTATTTAAGTTAATAGAATTATTATTCTTATTATTAAAATAGAATTTATTTAATTTACTATGTTTGCTATTACTACTGTTACGGTTGAAGCTCTATAATAATACTGGGCAACAGTAATTTGAGTGCAGTGATGTGATGTCTTGCCCTACCTTATTTAGAGCAATATTTTTTTTTACAAACGATGTAATATGTTTTATAACAATTAAAGTTTTATATTGTGCTTTTAATAATTGTAAAACAATTTCTTATTTTTTATATTTAAATTATGAGACGTATTTAAACAATTATGATACTTTAGGGGAAGCAATTGCTCCTCTCCCCTTTGCAAATGACGTCCTGATTTTTTTTTTATTTTCTCTCAATACAGTGTCAGATTTAAATAAACTCATAAAAATATTTAATTTAATCACTTATACCAGCACATCGTTTAAATGATATGCTGAATAAAATATGTACGTGAGGTTTTTGATTTGACAAAAACACACCAGAGGAACCAACCTTGAAATTTAAAAACTTTTCAATTTAATTTCTTGCATACAAACATTCACACATACATTTATGCTAACATGCTCACGTACATAAGCACACACATAATAATCACATACATGATGTTTTTGATTTGACAAAAACACCTCAAAGATTTGTTGTAGTTGATTGACTGGTTAATTGATAGTACAGTATCAAACAGTATTTTATTGAACAAAGTAGTATCATAAAATAAATAAAGATACTTTTTTCAAAAATTTAAAAAATTCTCAATTTGATTTCATTGCGATGTCGACGATGATGATTGTTACTGACTGACTAAAAGACATCAAATAAAATCAAATAAAATAAAAATATAGGATGGGCAGAAGACGCCATGTTAAGAGTAGTTATTTAACTGCATTGTAGTGAATTAGCCGGTATAAAGGTTATATTCAATTCCTATCAAAAAAATCTGAACAAATATCATACGCAGGCAAAACTAAATTAAGAAATAGATAGATAAATATATGTAGTTATAGCACATTTATAATATTATATTTATACATTCAAATTGCACAATTGTGTTATAGCGTAGTCTCAAATTATTTTGAATTCCCTCAGAAAAATTAAAACTTTTTACTTTATACTAGTTACTTTTTCGAACAATTTAAAAAAAATTCAATTTGATTTTATCGCAATATCAATGATGAAGATGATGACCTGACTGATTAAAAAGCATCAAAGAAAATTTTTAAAATAGGATGGAGAATTTGTTACGGAATTGTTGGTGGAAATGACATCATGCTATAGGTATTCTATACTTTGTGAAATGTATCCGTTCAACTTCCACACCAAGAGAAAAAGTTTTTTCAAAATCTGGAATACTGATAAGCATAAAAAGAAATAGATCGCGAGATGTGTGTGTTTAAATGATTAGATGGAATTGCCTAGACAATAAAACTTGCCTAGACAATAAAACTATTTTAATTAAATTCTGAATAAAATATTATTTAAACTCGCTCGCGTTATTTCTTTGGTATCGATATTGGGGGTATTCGTATATAAAGCGAGCAAAATTTTAATATCCATTTATTGACAATTTTACTGACAAAACTGCCCAGAGAACCATAAAGAACCACTTAACTAGACAGAAAAAATAAAAATATACGAATTTCAATAAAAGCGCCTATAAATCTATGCATACTGGCTCAGCTTGGCTCGGCTCGGTTCCAGTTGGCTGAGTTCTCCCCGAAAAATTTGAACTGTATTTAACTCGTAGGTCAATTAGGGATTGAAATGTGTTGGACAATCGTAGGTAGGCTAAGGCTTAACATTAGTTAAAAAGTTTCTAACAAAAAAAAAAAAAAAAAATTATTCAAAAAAGGCAAATTAAAAACGTTAAAATATGTGAAATACAATACCTGAAACATGTAAAATTCCTAAAACTTAGAAATACAAATTTGTAGGATGAGTTAATCGTTATAGGTAGGCTAGGGCCCTGAGAGTAATTTAATTTTAGGTAGGTGACTTACTACTGTTCTCACGACTTTTTACTATTTTTTCGTATGTGCTTGTTTTTGCTTCACACCACCAACAAAACATACTAAATTTTATTTTCGTCGTCGCCATAAATTTTACTTTTTTGAACAGTTTTTTGAACAATTTTTTTAATATTGTTTATTTATTTATTAAATGTTGATTGGTTTCTTGTCTTTTTTTTTTAATTCGGTTATATAATTTTTGGTATTTCTTGATTTACTTGGTACGTATGTATAAATTATTTCGAACGTTTTCGTCATCACCACCGTCATCATCATCGCCATCATCATCATCACCGCTACCTGCAGAAATATAAGGCTTATAATGATCAGTTGCCGTCCATAGCAGAATTGGCTTTAAAACTACCGCAACTCTTTCAGAAGGTAGTTGCTGTTTTATATCTCTCTCTTTCTATCACTCTCTCTCTCTCTTTCTCTCTCTCTTTCTCTCTCACTGATTGGTAACATAAAGATTTTATGTATTGTAATAATTAACATCATAATATGACGTAAACATTGTAAAATGACGTTGTAATATGACGTAAACATTACGACCAGCCCCTGCCCCGCCTGGTCAAAGGTCAGGAGATGACTTTGACCCTGATCCAGCTACAGGCGGCCTGCCTTTGGTCTATGCTTTCTTCTGTACTCTACGTTATAAAAAGACTAAGAGTGATGGTTGGTCTTGATGACGATGATGGTGATGGTTGTGGGAATGATGATGCTAATGACGACATGAACACTAAACAAAATTAACATGAACATGAACATAAACATGAACATTCACATTAACATGAACATTCACATTAACATGAACCTGAACATAAACATTAACATGAACACTAAACATGAACACTAAACATGAACACTAAACATGAACAAGAATACTAAACATAAACATGAACAACCAAGAAACACAAAGGACCGGACTACGGTAGACGAAATTTAGGAAGAAGCAGCGCTAGTAAAAGAAGCGGCAGTCACGGCTTTGACGGTAGTGGTAGTAGAAGTAGCGATTTTGGTAGTGGAGGTAGTTCTACTGGTGGTAGAGGTAAGTGTAGTTATGGTCGTAATTCTTCCTGGCAATCGGAGCGTTCGCAATTTATCATGCCCACCATTAATTTCTGCAGGTGAGATGTATGGTTTTGTATCAAGTTGTATTGAGATGTATGGTTTTGTATCAAGTTGTATCGAGATTTATGGTTTTGTATCAATTTGTATCAAGATATATGGTTTTGTATCAAGTTGTATCAAGATATATGGTTTTGTATCAAGTTGTATCGAGATGTATGGTTTTGTATCAAGTTGTATCAAGATATGTGGTTTTGTATCCAGTTGTTTTTGAGTTTTTAGTAGTTCTAATGGGTATTTCTTTAGTTGTATTAAGTTGTGTTACTGTTGTATTGTTTTCGTTCTTTTTGTATTTGTATTATATTGTATCCATCCATCGATTGAGTCTGTTGGTTCGTATTTTGCATACAGAACTCTGTCGCCTGTATTGTTTAAAATTTACTCTTCCAAACTCATCCTACCTTTCTTATTGGTATTCATTATAATTAATTTAATTTATGCTGATCTAATTAATCTAAATTACACCTAGTTAATCAACAACAACGACGACAACGACAACAACATCATCATCAACAACAAAAGTTTCAACAAATATATTAAAGAATTAAAAAATAAATTGAAGTAACTAAAATTATTGGGCCGCAGCAACCAGGGCTTTGACAATTTTATCAGATCAACAAGTAAAAAACTGCAAGCCAAACTGTTATCAACAAAAATATTAAAATCTGGTAAATCATGTGGTAACATCACGTCTCAACTGAAACGACGATTCTGGTGGACATGCAGAAGAATATTTGCTCAGACGAAAAATTTGAAACCGCTGTTCAACGCCAGTGATTGCGCACGTTATTTCAAACAAATACTATCAGATGATAACCAGAAAAAATGCCAACTACCAAACTGGACTCAACAGCTACAAAAACTTTCAACACCCTGCAACACAAGCCCTCCATCATACCACGAAATATCTACAATAGTTCGCAAGTACAAAGCTAAATCATCACCTTGCCCACTCAATCAAATCTCGATAATTTCATTTAAAAAATGCCTTATATTGCGCACTATTTTGCACAAACTATTAATAAAATGCTGGTTGTCAGACAAAATTTCAATTTGCTGGAAAAAGGGCTTCACGATCCTCATCCACAAAAAGGGAGACGCTCACGATCCTTCCAACTTCAGACCAATAATCTTGCAACCTACACTTTACAAAATATTTTCATCCTTCATAAATAATAAAATATACAATTATTTAGAAATCAACAACTTTATAAAAAAAAAAAACATCCAAAAGGGCTTCTACCCGAAAATAGATGGTGTTACAAAACATAATCAGCTTTTAACTCCTCTACGATGCGAAGAAACATCAAAGAACCATTATCGCCGCACTTCTCGATCTTCGCAACGCATTCGGTGAAGTCAGCCATAAACTCATATCATCAACTCTGGATTTTCATCACATCTTCTCTCAAATCATCAAACTAATTGAACATATATATACCGACTACTCAATCACAGTTTCCGGATGCGACAACTAACCCTGCCCATTCCAATCAAGCGTGGTGTATTGCAAGGTGATCCCGTGTCTCCACTGTTCTTCAACCTCTGCTTCAACTCCCTGATTACCAGGGGAACAGAGTACCAACAATGCGGGTACATATGGGGTCCGTCAGCTAGCTTAAAGACAAGAGTGGATGACACGGCCATTATCGCCAACAGCACCGAAAGTGCTCAATAACTCATAGATGTAAATCACTCTTGGTGCAAAGCAAATGGAATGAGTTTAAGAATTGAAAAGTATTCCTCGTTTGGAATGCAAAAACGCAGCGGGGTTTACGAACAATTCCTTTCGGCGCTATCGATCGACATCAAACAAATCCCCCATGTTGACATCGGAGGTTATTTTGAATATCTGGAGAAAAAATATGATTTCGAAGGCAACAACACGAACGCCAAAAACCAGATGATCATCAAACTCAAAACATTACTATCAACCGTCAGTGAACTAGATACAACAGTTCAGTGGAAGCTTGAAATCCTTAAAAAATATCTTCCATCCCAATTTGCGTTTGAATTTCGCATGTACAACATTTCACTGATTTGAATTAGTATGCATCTCACCCTAATCACCGAATCAGCCCTAATCACCGAATCAGTAAGATCATGGCTGTCATTGCCCATTAGTAGCGGTCTGTTGGAGACATTGTCGCTCCCATATAAATTAGGCGGCCTAAACGTTAGATCTCTCAAAATTTGTGTCGAATCTTTGAGATTAAAACTCCGTAGCCACCTGAAATCAAACGGCAACAAAGAACTCAAATGTTTATGAAACGAGTCCTATAGCAATTATATAAAAATCGACAATTTGTTTCCTAACTCATAAGACATAAAACCGGCACTCAGAATGCTAACGATCCAACAATAAAATGCAGAACACGAACATCTATCGCTACTCCGTTGCCAAGGAACAATTTTAAAAGTGATCAAAGACCAGATTCCGCAGCTAGAATTGCTCACTGGTCAAAATTTACTGCAAACCTCTCAGAAGTACTGTTCAAATTTGTTAGGAGAAGTCTCATCCAACAACTCCCCACAAATGCAAATTTGTTCAGATGGGGCAAATCATCAATGGCTGATTGTGTAAAGCGCGGCAAACAAGCAAACATGTTCTGTCTAACTGCAGTTCGGTGGCAGCAATGAAAAGATTCACAACAAAATTTTAAACATAATTATAGAAAGTTTGAAAGCATGCGCTGGTCCAGAGATTTCGATATATGCCGATGTGTTTTATAATGGGATCCCTCCAGTGTCTTGTCTCTTCAAATCCCTACGTCCTGACATCGCAATACTTCGTGACGACATAATAGAAATATTGGAGCTGACGGTCTGCCATGAATCCAACCTACTCAACTCAAAAGAATATAAAACCACAAAATACTCAGAAAATCTCAAAAATAATTGCATGACAATTCAATACACCTGAAAATAATAGTTAATACTTTTGAAATTTCAACATTAGGTTTTTGCAATTTTTTAAATTTATCATTAATCAATAACATTTGTTCAGATCAATTTTATAATAACCTTATTAACTGTGTAATACCGTCATCTTATGCCATCTACTGTGAACGCAATAACATTTGAACTGTTCGTTTAAAACTATCAATCAGTCAATCAATCAATCAATTAGCTTATAAAGCGCTATTTCCGCGATGTTCAACAGCGCTCCTCAATGAATTTTGAAAACAGATGGGTCTTGAGATCCACTCTGAACTTCTGAACTAACCATATCTCGTTGTACTCGTTTATTTCAAATGATGAGCATCGTAGAATACTATTGTATTTAATTTAATTTAAATCAATTTATTTCTTTTATTTTATTTATTCTAGATTTTAATTAGACTTTTATCTCATTTTACTTTATTTCTTGTTTTTCTGGAAATAAAAGAAAGAATACATTATTATTATTATTATAACTACAAAACTCAAAAAACTGTATAGTGTTATTTACGTATGGTGGATAAGATTTAAGAGCTTGCAACGGTTGAGTATGACTTTAGACGGTTTTTAAGTCCTTGGATAAATATAGACACGAGTCGAAGGCGCTTTTGTGAAGAATTGTTTTATAATTAGCTAGCGCTATATAAATGTGTCAATAACAATAATAATAATAACACCTTTTTATTTTCAACAACATTAACAACAACAACAACAACATTAACAACATCAACAACAATAACAACAACAACAACACTAGTGCCAGTAACAATACTAACGACAGCAAAATTAAATTCGACATTATCCACTACCACCACACGGGCGACAATAACGACGACGGCCTCAACTGTAAATCGAAGACGTCGGCTACCCGATCGTCTGCGACAACCAGATTCTAAGTAACGACCAGAGTAGTAGCAACAACAACGTAAATAATAATAATGTGGACTTTTGTTCTTCTTCAAATTCCAAAACGATGTAAAATCAAAAGTATTCAAGACTGATGAAATAATAATAGTAATTGAGTTTTAAACAATAAAGTTAATAAAAAGACATTAATATATTTTATATTGCTCGAAATAGTATAGAATGTGTACACTAGAGTAGGTCAGTTTAATATTTAAATTGAGTTTTAATAATGATAATAATAATAATAATTAATAACAACAACAACAACAACAATAATAATAATAATTGCAATAACAGAAAAAATGGCAGCTCACCAGATGATTTAGAATTAAAAACAATAATCAATTAAGAAAATTATTATGTTTAAATAAATATATAAATGAATAATTAAATGATAATCATAATAAAAATAATAACACTGCTGTCGTTGCTGCGACCGTCTGTGCGATTGTTGCTGAGACCTGTGAGACGTTGGTGAAACCTGTGAGACGTTGCGGAGACCTGTGACAAAGGCTTATAAAAAAAATGTACTTAAAAACATAATGTTGTTGTTTTGTTATTTTTTAATATTAATAATGTGTGTTAATATTTCAACTCTTTTTGGGTGATTTTATTTCAAAATAAAATAAATTAGTTGTAGTTTTGTTGCCTTGTTCAGTGTTTGGTGAAGTTTTTGTTGTTTTTGTTGTTTGTGTACGTCTGTGTGCAAGTGTGTTTGTGTGCGTCTGTTTGTATGCATGCGTGTTTGTGTGCGTGTGTGTGTGCGTCTGTGTTATGTTTTTTCAGTTTTAACTTTTCAAAAATAAAACCGTCCGGCAATTAAGCGTCTTACTACACGATGTAGTGTGCGGATTGTCAGTGTACCACCTCTTGATAATAACGATGGTAGCGATGATTTATACGAAATCGATTCTGAAAGTGATTATGATTATGAATTTTCAAAGAACAAATGGGTAAATAGTCATTGTTAAATGTGTAAATGTTCATTTGTACATTCAATTCTTCCCGTATATCGTTCGTTCATTTGTTTGTTCGTTTCGTTCGTTCATTCGTTTATACGTTCGTTCATTCGTTTATACGTTCGTTCGTGCATTCAACCATTTAGTGTAGTACCACTTCGTGGTAAAATATACGAATGTAAATATTTACATTAAATAAAAAAATCTACTAAAATACGAAGGTAACTATTTACATCAAGGATAGTTAAAATGCTTTTTAAAAAAATTATAGAAGAAAATAAAAGTTTTTTCAATTATATGCAAAATTTCAGAAATAAATTAACTATGATGCGACACGTTTCTTCTTGCACTTCATTATAATCTCATTATACTTTTTCTCCATTTGTTTGCGGTCGTTGTCGTCATCATCTTCTTCCTCATATAAATCGTTGACATTTTTATCATCTTCATTCCTTTTTCTCTTTTTGTTGTATCTGCCTTCGCTTCCAACTTTTTCTCAGTTGCGGCAACAACAATCGGCTCTCCGTAATCAATTGACACGTTTCTGCAGTACAGTTTTACCCATTTATCTAATTTTAAGTAATGTTCAGCTGAGTTTTTTTGCGAATGCTCTTGCATGTGGTTCCGCAGTCGCTTTTCTTCCGATACTTTCAAGAATCTGAGTAGATTATCATTTCTAAACTTCACTCCACAGATTTCCCTGATAGAAGCAGCGTGATTTGTCTGTATCATCTTTTGAATTTCAAGGTGTATTTCTAAACTTTTTTCATTATTTTAAAAATTAGGATACATTTATTAAAACTATTTAGCTCAAAAATATTCAATAAGTTATAATTTAGGAAAATATCCTTATTCAAATTATGGTTATAAAACGTTTTCACAAATCTTTTTTGAGAGATGTATAATCTTTGGATATTCATCTTATTAGATGTCCCAAAATTAGGTTACGATATTGAAAATACGGGCAAACTAATGAAAAGCACGGCAGTTTTTTTAATGTTATTGTTTAAAAATGTTCTAATCCTAAAAAATATTTCCAGAGAAATGGAGAATTTGTTCTAAGTGGAGTTTAAAGTAATTTAAAGCTTTTAGTTTCTTCTAATTTAATATTACTTATTTTTTAGGATATTT